AATTTCGCGCGTGCGTCTCGGCGAATAAAATCCTGTATAGGCGAAGGGAGACGACATGTTGCGCGCAGAGCCCGAGGGTAAAGATAGAAACCCACCGTCGCACTGCTGAGAATGAGATTGAGAGAAAAGAGACGTCGCGCGTTTGCATTCAGTTACGACGACGCTGGCAGGGCGCCGCACCAGAATAATTACCAGAGAAGAGAGCACCCATAATACTACTCGCGAGAGAGGCAAAGAGGCGATGAACTATTATTAAGATACTGCAATTGTGTCGGCAGTTATTCCATGAAGTTTATCGTTGGAAAACTTTGATGTAATCTTGGCCGAATAAACCATTTGCGTCTGTATTTTAAGCTTTGCTTTTTTTCCTTATCGCGCTGCACTCGCGCCCAAATTGAATCGTCCAATTCGAAGACAATGCTTCGTTCACGCAGACGCGCGGGCCATCGTTTATGCTTTTCCGGTACTTTGCATGTGATTTGCTCGCTACTTCCGCTGTCGGCCGTTCGCAGCGGGCGAGACAAATCAATCGGCATTTATTTTGAGCCAACGAAAAGAAAAGCAAATCAAAACAAGACCCGAAATGTCCGCGTATGCGCGCACAGTCGGAGATAGCAATCACATGCCTATCGAGAGATAAGTCGAAGGCAGTAAAACGTCGCCTTAAACGGCTATTAAAATCGCGTTATTGTTTTCGAGAGCGAAAGCGTCCCGTGGTTGACGTTTAATCGCCAACGCTGGGAGATTTACGAGTCGCGCTTGTATGTCGCACTGGTGGGCTTCGAAACTAGCTGCTCGCTGGCGCTGTCCGGTCCACTTCCATTAACTGCCACTCGCACGCCCGATAGTCGCCCGACCGATCGCGCGCCAGCGAATAAAATTCTCCGCGCTCTTTTGTCTATCCTCCCAACGTATCTACCGTCTCACTGTGGCTGGTCGATAAATTTTTGCTTTTTGCGGAGCTCTTCTTTTTCTTTCTTTTTTTCTTTTTTTTTTTCCTTTTTTTTGCGAGCGGGAGGTTTATTTTTTTGTCTGGCAGTTTTAATAGAATTGCAGATTTATAGCTTGGATGAAGACGTAAATAATTCGATTGGAAATACAGGACACTTCTTCATTAACATTCTTTGGGGTTTCGGAATAAATTTGATTTTATAAATAAGCTCTGAATTGTATTGTGTAAAGAAAGAATTACTCTTTCCCTCGAGAACGGCAATTGTTCGATTTCTTTTTATATTTATTAATCTTGAATGTCAATCAAATAATTATTTCAACGAACACTGAAACATTTTTGCATTAACATTTTTGCATCGGAAAATTTCTTGTCATACTTATTTTCATACTATCAGTAACGTATTGTTTCTTAGACTCTATAGTAGTCTATGGGCAGTTCAATCCAACCATTGAAATTTTCGATCGAGAAATACTTATCCGATATCGTTGTGCTACCGAAGTAGCACGCGTTGGTCGCACCCTTCATCTGCACTAAACTATACATGATTGATAGTTTTTCTTTAATGAAATTTGATTAAAAATCAGCTCAAAGCAAATTAAGTATGAATATTATCCGTTATTTCTTCAGATTGATGCTACTTTCGTCGTCTGAAATTTGTTAGAATCGGCTTCATTGTCGAAACAAAGTTCACAATTGATCGAAAATTCAGTCAAGCTCGTACGTAAAGCACATGCCGCTACTACGCAACGCATTTTCAGCGCGTAAAATATCGAAAAACACACCAGCTCTCCGGTGAAGTATGAAATAATAATAAAATCGTCCCGACAAACGTCACGAACATCGTAAAATTTAAAGAAAACCGTTCCGCCAAAATAAAGCCGTATATATATATGTATATGTCTCCCTCTATGGCTATCTCCCTGAAAAAAGCCATTATACAAAGCGTGCGCGAAGCCATCGCGAAATAAAAAAGAAGGAGAGCTTATCAGGGATCTTTTTCTCTCTCTCTCTCTCTCTCTCTCTTCCTCTCTGAGTTTGGCATTAACAGTCTCGGGGGTTGGATTTATTGGCCTACACGCAGAGCAGCGCGAGCGGAGAGGTGACACGACGCAGCAAAACTTGCCCAATATCGCGGCACGGAAGAGCCACGACGCCCGATATTAAACTTAATATACGGCCGCAATTAGTAGCGGTAACCGCCCTCAATGCTGCTGCCAGTGCCGCTGCTCTTAATTCCCGTCCACGCTATTGATTGTTTTGTCGCACGGGTAGAGTTGGATTTATTGCTGCTGCGGCTGCTTGATTAAAGCCTTTAATTAGGTGAATTGAGGCGAGCTATGTGGAAGGTATCGGTCATTACTTTCGGTTGCTTTTATGAATGCTACATTATCTATATTGGAATTAAAGTTTGTCGTTTAGTTGAATACCAATAATAATCGTAAAATTGGAATAAAAGTATGGACGCCAGGAGGCAAGTCGCGAAACCGAAAAATGGTCTTTTATATATGGCTGCATCGGTGCTTTTTTAGAAAAAGAAAAGCAGCCCCTGTCACACGCTCTCGGCGTATATAGCAATATCAAAAGTCAGCTTATAATTTTACGACTCTCTTTCTTTCTCTCTCTCTCTATCTCTGCCATTGTATATCGAACAAACATCAGATCCTCTATAAACGTCAAGTTGAAGCGTCTTCCAATTGGGGATATACCTCTCTGCATAATTAATCTGTCTCGCGTAAAATTATTGTTGGACGTAGTCGCGTCGGGCGAGACAGTAGTAGTATGGAGGGCTAATTCCGCAGGGAGTTTTTTTAATGTCTCTGGCCGGTTGTCTGTATGCGTGCGCGGGCGAGGAGGGAAGCAGCAGCAGCGGCGGCGGCAGCAGCAGCAGCAGCTATTTATGGGACGAGCCCGAGAGATTGTGTGACGCTCGGCGGAATCCGCCAAAAACGAGGGGGATGCAGGTCGAGGGGCACTCTCTCCCTTCCCTGCTGTGCCATGATGCGTTGCCATAGTAACACGCTCCAACCCCACTCTCTACCTACGAAGCTAGCTAACACTCGAAACGGCCATGTTGAATTCAATATCGGCATTCCCGGCATTCCGCGGCTTTTTCGGACGCCCGTTAACACCTGCACACATGCGCAATTTTTTTTTCACCCCCGCCCCCTCACCTTTTGCATGCTCGCTGTTATTTATTACGCACGAGGCTTTACGATTTTGCGACGCACGCGCGCTCAGATCTAATCGAGCTTTGCTCAGCGGGGAAATTCAATTATCGTCCGAGCGGAGCGCGAAAACTATATTATTATAGGACGTGATTTCATAAAGTGACGATGATGATATTCCTTTCTTCTCTTATTCTCTTCTCCTGTTCTTTTTTTCTTCTTTTTTTGTTCTTTAAATTGGTTTTTCCAATTCACTTCGATGGTAAATCGATGATATATGCTTATTGAAACGAGAGCCAAGTACACAATCTATGATTTACGCACTTGCTGAATATGTACTTCCCCGAGAGAGAAAAAAGAATTTGAAATTGAAATAAACGCAAGACATGGAGAGGATCTCGGAAATATTCTTCTAAACGCGCCGCGAGTAAAAATTAAGCGCAATAATAGAATAGAATGCCGTGGCCTGCTCTCTCGCAGTCGTCTAACAGTGGGACAGTAAATCATTCGCAGTTTTACAGCGCACTAACCTCTTGTCCTCACTTTTTTCCTCTCCCCCTAGCGAACACTCGAGCCGCGAGTATTTTAAAACCTTATAAAAACCGTACGCACGCATCAGAGGACACTTGGCTGGAAAAGATACAATTTTGCAATCGGCCAAATTCCATAACATCAAGTTGCGCGACTCCTTCATCCGACCTTATCGCGGTACGCAAAATCAAACTCGAACCAGCCCTACCCGTTTGAAGAGTGAAGGCGTCAGTTACGCTGCTAATTGCTCTTGCGGTTGTAATTTTGCCTTTTTTTATCCAGCGCGTGTGTAAGCGATGCTAAAGCAAAACGTCGATGTAAATAACGCAGGTCTACGGTGCGACTTCTTGACGTTTACGAAGGCATTTCCGAGTCATCGTTTCGAGTGACTCCGCGTAACGCGCGCAGGTAATCCCTCGCTCTCGGTTTTACCTGCGCAGCAACATGTTGCTTCGAACAGCCCACGCAACAACTACCAAACACCGTAAAAAAGAAAAAAAAACAAAACCAAAACTATCCCTTCTGTGAGTGCGTTTACGACTCTTTGACTCTTGGGTGAAAGTCAGAGGCCGGCATTCCTTAAAGGGTTTCCAAGCCTATAGATGAGAGACTTTCCTTCCTTGACTTTTTCCGAAAAACTTTCTACTTTTTTAAGCGTGGCCTTCTCGTTTTTTGGACGCCACCAAGCGCGCAACCCCTGCAATAAGCTGCACGTTTCGAGATAGCCCGTCACTCTTTTGTCGCGACCGAGAGAGAAAGTGTCGCGTGGAGTAGAAAAAAAATGGAAGAGAAAATCCTCTTCGACGGAAATGAGCGTCGAATTTCGGCCTTGCAGAAAACTGTCACCCAGCGCGTGCGAGTTCATCTGAACAAGAGCGTCACCTTGCTATAGTTTGCCCTATCGTCGATGCGGTGGTTTTCACATGTAACTCTGTGTACATTTAATATTCTATAGAATATTCACAGCTGGTGGAAACCATTTTTCTTAATGTATTTTTTTAATAATTTTCAAACAATGAAATTTCGTAGAGAAAAAGTATTGTTAGCAGACTTTAAGGCTTTCTTGTTAGAAAAAAGTGCAGACTATTTTCGCGATATATAAATGATGCGTGACTTCAATCGGGCATCAATACAATAAAACATGTTTCGTCATTGAATATGTCGACATTATTGCGTAGCACTAAAGCCGTATCGATAAATAATATCTCGTAAACCATTCATTTACCATAAAATTGAGAAACAGGCTTATTATAGGAATATGCGACTTTGAATAACTGTAAGATTAATATGAGAAAAAAAATTCATGAACCTATTCAAGTATTGTCGTATAATAATGAGCTCTATAATTACAGGGCCGAATAATCATATAATTACAGGTCCGAACGGTTGTCCGCGACGTCGAGGTCGACAAACCTACACACGTTTCCAAACGCTCGAGCTCGAGAAGGAATTCCACTTTGCGCACTACCTGACGCGGCGGCGGCGAATAGAAATCGCTCACGCGCTCTGCTTAACCGAGCGCCAAATAAAGATATGGTTCCAAAATCGGCGGATGAAGCTGAAGAAGGAATTGCGCGCGGTAAAGGAGATCAACGAGCAAGCGAGACGCGAGCGCGAGGAACAGGAACAAATGAAGAAACAACAGTCGGAGAAGCAAGCGAAAATGCAATTGGAACAGCAGAGCGCGATGCAACAGCAGCAGCAGCAGCACGGTCCACCGCAATCGCAGCACCACAGCGTGCCGGGATTGGATAAAACTCAAAGCGACCTTCTCAAAGCGGTGAGTAAGGTGCCCACATAGGAGAGCCTCCTGGGCCGCCTCTACCTGTCCTAGGTGGCGTGGACCGACGCCCGGCTGCGTACTTACCTGGAGGCCGCTCAGATCCCTCGCAACGACTAATAATCGGCAGCACGCGGACGACGTAAAGAATGAGACTTCGTTCGTGGAGAAACTACGTGCCATGCACACACAGATAACATCCACTCACCTATACAACCCCTTTTTTCAATCCGTACGTGAGAGAAGACTGACACCGAGATATCGACACCCCAGTGTGACATACATATATATATATATATATATGTATGTATATAAACAACTGGACTGTTGTTCTGCGGTCCAATTTTATCGCTAAACAGTGATTGGCGACGATGATCATAATAATTTCATTCGTACTGACCCAGTGACTTTCGAGACGTGTATTGTAATATAATGATATTTCGCTCCGTTTTCCGCTTCGAGATCAAAAAAGCAATGTTGATTTTTGTCGAATGTTTAGAAGGGCCGAGAGTCTATATTGTGTTCAAGTTACGTAATTAGCGCTTAGTGAGCCTTTTTGTTCTCTTTGTCGATAGGCCCAACTATAAGTCTCATTTTTAGGACAAGGAACAAATTGTTTTTCTTTTTATATTCATTTCGTCGCTTCTTTGTCATTGTAATGTTTTCGACGAAATTTGTACAAAATAGGCGTATTACGTTGTGTTTTCTTTTGGCCGTCGAATATTAATAAAATTTCTTGCGTTTGTTTGTTTGATAGAGAATCCTTTAGTCCGTACTTATACATATATATATATATATATACACATATATATATACACACATACAATGCAACGAAACGTCGATCGATAAGCAAACTTCCTCTGTCGTGGACGAGATATACATGAAAGATCGCGCGTAGCGAAGAAAAAACAAATTGCAAGGCTATGTTGCGTGGAAACGGCGAAAAATCTATCTAATCTACTACCGGACGAGTATCTCACTCATAGTACATTAAATACGTAATTTGGTGTCAGGGTAGACCTTCAGTAGATCTAAAAGCCTGTTGTTGGTATTACTTAATTAGTTTACTCGTGGAACAAATGAAAAAATGAAGACTATTCAAACAAGGAATAAAATAAAGCATGTTTGTGGAACATTAACTGACAGATAGTAGAGTTTACGCAGACGACAATTAAATTAAGAAATTAATGAAAAATGAGAAAAAACAGTAAATTATTGTCCATTATTAACCGAAGATACGTAAAACATAGACATATTAAACAATAATAAATAGCGTTTAAAAATAGAGTAAGATTTATTGAATTGAGCTGTGAGAGATTGAGCGTATTTTATTAATATTTCGAGATGGAAAAATGACAAAGAAAAAAAATCACTAAAAGGTTTTTATTTTATACATTATTTATTGTTTTAATATAGAAAAGAAAAGAAAAGCATTTTTGAATATTTATCGAGACAATAAGATGAGGGAAATTCATTAGACGAATAAATCAAATTTATTTCTCTGTAGCTCAATTTGAATTTCTTCTCGAAATTTCTCGATAGCGGCGTACTAAAAGAAACTTATCCCAGTGAATATGCAACTGTAGTTAAACGGATATTAAAAAAAGAAATTTTTCATACGTATAAAACTGTACGAAAACAGGTAGAAATAACAAAGTTTTTCAGTACTGTATTAATTGAAAAAGGGCAGAAGCGCAAAGAAAAGGGCACGGCGCACGGAAAACTTCGCCATAAACGTCCGGTGTATTGCATATTATCTATAAAATAGAATTAAAAACAAATGAACTAAACATTATATAAAGGTGGAAAAAATATACCCCAGGACGTTAATTATCTAATGAAATATTATTATAAATAATCGACCGTACGTAATTAAGAAAGCGAGTCCACAAGAGAAAGAAAGGAGCAAAAATATATATATATATATATATACTCACGTATATAATCCTACGTAGCGAGCGTATCTATACAGTGTGTAACCCGTAATATTGTGTATCGTGTAATGAGAAAAAAAGAAAAAGACTTATTAGACACAGTCGCGAGTATCGACGTACTATGACGAAAAAGATTCGAACGGGGAGAGAGACTGGAAGTACTAGTAGTTTCTCGTACTATACATACAACTTAGAATGCATAAGGCGTGATTTTTTTTTAACATCTATATGTGAAAATAAAAACAAGGCAACGTTTCCGTTTTGCGTGAGTTATCCGTATAACGTATATATAGTATATAAATCGTATGTTTCCTGTGTAAAATCGAAAGAGAAATGAGATTCAAGTTCATCTCGAATCTCAGCATCTTAGTGTGCGGTTACAGAAAGGAGACAGAAAGCCAAGCGTCAAAAAAGTGTGATCACGCATTTATTGGAATAAAACCCAGGCATATAAGTATACGGCATGTATGGGGAAAAAGATAAAGGCTTTAGTTCGAGAATGAGAACGTGAGTGGTGTAACTATTTGTAGACAGCTTTATATATATATATATATATATATATATATATATATATATATATATAAACATACACACATATATATAAACACGATATCATGTATTGTCCATATTAACATACACGACCTATTGTATTGCTAGTTACGTTTGATGTTATATGCCGTTAATTAGTGATACGTATGATTATCCTGAATCGACATTTATACAACGCGTGTGGCGGCGCCAATGTAACGTCCGACAATTATAGATACGTGATACAAACGACGACAAGTTAAGAAGAAAAAAACGATGGCCGATTGGCTTTATGTGTGTACAGTATTTGCCGGGCGTAGTATGCAAAAGCGACTTACCGTATATGATGATCTCCACACTGTGGATAACGTTCATTACGAAAGTCATCTACTATATATGTAATGTGTGGCTTTTTTTTTTTGAAACGTTTTGAAGTTTTTGAAATATTTTATCTAAGTACGTTTAGGAATAACTTTTTTTATTTGTCTCATTGAATTCTGAATTCAAAATTGAAGGATATTCAGGCGCCGTCCACTTGTAGGCTTTCCATTGATCTGAACATAGTACACATTTATTGCTTTATCGAAATTATTTATAATCTTATTTCATTGGAGTGAAAAAAATCTTGTTTCCTTTTTTGCGCACGTCTTTTAATAATCATGTAATTATCGTATGAAACTCTTTATCTAAAAGTGAAACTTCTTTACTCTCTCATAAACTCGTCAATATTGCAACTTTCATATACAATACAATACTGTGTGAAACTATTTATCGAATCATCAACCGTTGTCGATTTTTTCCAAATAGTACAACGATTGCCCGACTTGCCAAACCTCGCGACCTCTAAACTGCGTCGCGTAGACTTCTCTTAAAACGAATTACTATACGTAGCTGAGACGACAATTCAGGAGAAAAAAGTTGACTTTGATAAGGACATTGTATCTCTAATGCATCTAAAGTCTGACTCAACATCTCTCTGAAAATAGTCGTCGTACCATAGTGAAAGAAAAAAAGTGAATTTTAATTGTGAAACCATAGATATAACGATTTACACGTACTATTAATGAAAAAAGTAATTATTACATGGTAAATGAACAGTGTAGCCGAAATCCGTCTCACGGGAAAAGCGCATGGATCAAGTTGAAAAAATTGTTTGTTATATTTTCTTTATATATACTTATAGATGTCATTGTTTATTTATGAACTGTTTATTTTACTTTGTATTTTGTCCTATAATTGTTTTTTGTTAATATGAGAGAGAAAATGTGAAAGTTATTGATACTGTGCGAGCACGAGAATACATGTGAAATGGTGCGATTGGATTTTTATATGTAATTAAAAATACGTAGTGTATAATGTGACTATTTGAAGCTTGCGGCTTTCTAATAAAAGTTTCGAGCATTTTAGTGAGTAAACTTATTAAAACTTTAAATAGGTAAAAAATAAAAACGTTTAGAGTGTTGTGTCAATGAGTGCTGCGAGCATAAGATATTACATTGTCAGTTCTGGTTTTTTGCACGTACATATTTAAACACACACATGCACACATATTGTCCATTTACGTGATAGAAAACAAGAACGAACTAAAAAAAAATGCCAACGCACAAAAAAAATCGTACAAAACTGAAGTATTTGGGCGTTGTTGTGATTTTTTTGTTAGCGTCGCTATTTCTTATTTAATATTTATATAGCGGGAAAATGTTTTTTTCTACTTTTAAAAAGTGGTTATAAAAAATGGTTTAAACCAATGTTATATTGAAAAAAGGCAGCTGAATCAACATTTTTTTACGTTAGCGTTTTTTTACTTTTCTTACGCTTTGTGCCAGCGACTGTTTTGCTTTGCTTCAATTTGTTTAGCAATAATTGTAATGATTATTAAGTTTCATAGCGTTTTCTTTCAAAGAAGCTAAATTCACGTTATAAAAAAAATCGTTTCAACAATACGCTAATTTATCTGCTGGAAAGCATATGAAGAAAGGTTAGAAATTGATGATTGATCTTTAAAGCAATTGTTCTCGATGCACTCTCGTATAATCGACGCAAAAATACGCAAATGAGACTTGTTTTGTCAAGGCCCGACTCTCATTTGATAGTCCATTCGAGTTGTTTGTTTCTTTTGAAATTTTTAGAAATCGTTTTGTTCTTTTGATAATCTTATTAGGAGAAAATTTGAATGAATTGTTCTTCAGTCGATTCTATCGCGCAATTAGCGTGCAGCTGACATAACGAAAAAGTTCGCGCAGGTTGCTCAAGTGAAAAACGACACTTTTTTCAGACTCGTAACTCTCGATGTAAATATTATACTATATAACGTATATCCCCTTCCCTCAATCATAAAGTAATGTCTCTTGTCTCGTGCGAAATAAAGGAGAATGAAAGGCAAAAGTTACGTGAAAATAAAACAAACTAGCCACTCACACATTGATACCTAATTAATGTTTCAAACACTAATTAAAAAGGAAATACGGACATAGCTCCCCTATCACAATACCTTAAATATTTCAAGCAGAAAACGGAAAAGGTGAGGAACGTCTGATGTTTTACTTGACTATCGACATTTTAGTATTATACACGTTTTCTCGTCAAAAGCGATGAGTAGAAGAAAACAAACAATTAAGCAAAAGCATAATAATAAGCGACGAATGTGCGTGTGCCACGCTTGAATTGCATGCGCGAGCACTGCGCGCTCGTGGCAGCATTATTATTAATAGTAAAAGAGTTAACGGCGAGGAAGGAGTAAATCCAGTGACAATGAATGTAAATGTATCCATTTTTCGAAACTTGATGTAGAATTATACTCATAAGCTATATCTATATGATACACGAAACGAAAATAAAAGCGTACATTATAAAAATTATCCTTTTTTGTCGTTGTTCATATTTCTTTATTTCATATCATATCGTCATCTCCACACAATGTCACATCGTCTCTTCCCCTCCGATCGCTGCTGCATGTATAACGACCTTTTATCCGAGTAAAAGCCGCAATTTTCATTTTTCATTGTTATTCTTTCATTAGCTCGCGCCGTAAACGCGTCACGTATTTCAAAATCTAGACGCTCGTAAAAGGCCACCGCAATTTTTCCAATTCGCGCACCCAATTTATTTTCCGAAATCAGTGGCTGTGCGCTCTCGTTTCTTTCTTCCTCTGGCTGTCCAACAAAAGGCCAACGGGGCAAAAATCATAAAACTCACATGTGCGTATATATCTACGCTCAAATCATCCGACCTGTACTTATTCTCACGATCAATCGTCATAGATGGATCCAGGTGTGCCTGCGTCGTCCGCGTATCCGGAAAACAAAAGACGACCACGCGAACTTTCCTCTGTCTCTCTGTTTCTCTCTCGATGATCGGAAGCAGCTGGACCAAAAATCCATCAGCGAAGACATGAAATAACCGTGTTAAGCGCACAGAGAGTTGCATTGCACCTCCCTCGGTCGCAGTAGAATTTACGACTGTTCGAGAGTCAGCGCGGACGCGATGAAAGTCTCGTAAAGGCTCGACGTTGTCTGTGCAATGTGGAGTATTTTTTTGCCAGAGCGAGAGAGAACGCACACGCGGCAGCGCGTAATAACGGACGCCGAACGACGTGTCGAAAGTAAACCACCCATAAAAGCTGCTCTCTTGGTATGCAAATTAAAGTGCGCGGCGCGGTGCAATGCTTCGCGGGAAAAACAGAGACGAAGGGGAAAAATGTGCGCGGACTGTGCGCGGCTTCGTCCGAGCCGTGCAGGCGCGCGCTCGCTACTATTGCCAGAGAGATTTTTCCAATTATAGATGCCCTCTCGGCAGAGAAAAGAATCCAGGCAAATCTCAGCCGACTAAAGTGCTTCTCTGAAAAATGTTATTAACTTTATGTACTTGCCAATTGGCTTGCTACTGCAACCAAGTAGGCACATATGTAATTGCTTCGCTCGGCTTGTCTCGTCGATCCGACGATCCACTTCAGTGGAATGCATCGCCTTGTCCTGCGTATGAATTCTTTCCGCAAATTGTTTATCGCTGCCTATGGCTGAGCACAATTGGCGCCACTCGTAAGAAAAAGACATTGGTTTGCCTTACGCACATCTTGCGCAGCAGGGGCACGTGGCAAAAATTGAAAGCGATAAAACGTGGCAGCGATCCATTCGCGCGCGCAGAGATGATATGGTGCATTGCGCATTTATAGAGGTCGTTCATCTGCGAAATATCCACAAATACGGGAAGCAAGCCTGACGAAAAGATGTACCAAACAGGCGTATAGAACCTTACGTGAAAAGCATCATTGGCACTCGAAGGAGACGAACGAGGGGACCGACAGCAGAGAAAGGAAGGGAGCGTCTGCGTACATGTGCACACGGTAGCAAGCGATACACGTACAGAGTGAGACGCACACTGGCATTCGCGTATAGAGGATGGTTGACAGGCCGATTGGGCGGACGACGCAATAACGTAAACAGAACATAAACTGGTCGTATCGGTGACGAGAAGCGCCAGCCGTATAACCGACGACCTATCGATAGATACATTGTCGAGGGATGGCCTGGCTCGCCGTCGACGTATCGTTGCGTGCACGCGAATCCCTCCAACAATTGTTATAGTTACAGGCGCGCTAATATTACGATCTATAGGCTACTTTTTTCCGTTGGACGTTAACCATTTGCTTCGGATAGCCGATTTCAATCGCAGGATCGCGCATCACTCTATCCATTTGCTCGATGCTTCCACCAATTTTTTACTCTTATGAGCATTATTGCTTTATTTCGTGCAATTGATCTCATTTTTTTTCTGCAACTTTCTAATATACTTCTGCAAAATCTTCCGTTCGTCTTACTTATTTTAAAACATCCATAAATTGTGCGTGCAGTCTATTATAAATTGATTGAGATCCAAACACAGTAAACGTGATTCTGACATATTGGCATTCAGCAGCCGACGTCATGTTTTGGTAACCCGCATCGAAGGTGCGATCTTTTGAAAATCATCATCTAATCCACCGTCGAA